AAATAATAATAATATATTTATTAACTTAAATTAAAAAACCTAGCAATTTAATTATATCTAAACCTATTTAAACTTAAATCCCGAAAAATTTATGCAACATATCCGGCCGTGTATAAAGTAGGCCATGTGTCAATTTAGTTTCTTGCATATAATAAATATATAAAAAAAGTATATAAAATAAAGAAAGTCACCTTATTAAATGCGGTAATGGTGTAGTAGTTAGAGCGCTTGCTTCATAAGCAAGAGTCTTGGAGTTCGATCCCCATCACATCCCTGGTAGTACTGCACTCAACTTGTTTCTCCTTGCAGCAGCCTCATTCGTCAAAGTTTGTGTTTTGGAGTTATAGAGTTGAGAGAGGGTAATACCCACAATTAAATATCTTTAGTCTCCTTCTTGGCCTTGGGGAGGTGAATTTAAAAAAAAAATATATCATTTTTTTTATTTATTTATTTTGAGCAAGTGAGTACCATAAAAATCTTTTATTTGACACTTGTGCACTATAAAAAAACATCATTATATTTAGCATTCTATAAAATATATAAAACTCTTATAAAAGTCATACAAATGATAAGAAATCTTGCTTTAAAAACAAAAAATAATAAGATATATAAACTTATAGAAATATAAAATATATCAGATATATACAATTATCCTGAAAATCATTATAAAAAATATTAAATAAAAGTAAAAGAAAAGAAAATCTCAAAACATATTTATTTATAAATATGTTTTGAGATTTATTAAAAAATTTTATAAATAAAAGTGATTAGAGTAGGTCCATAATTTGCGTCACAGGGGCTTGCATTTAGAAGGGATTGTGGGGGGGGGAAGGGTTTAGTGCTTCTGTGATGACATTTATTAGACTTGTTACTAAAAAACAAAGCTGTGGGAGGGGAGGGTTCGAAAACAGTTGAAAATTGCATGCCAAATTTATGAACAACCTTTTAACTAATTGTATGTGGAAAAAAAATATTTTTTTGATGTTTTAAAAAAAAAAATCTTGAATACAGTCGACTCTCGATATCTTGAATACTTGATATCTCGAACTTTTGAGTATCTCGAACTTTTTTAGCATTCCCATGGACATAACGTACTAGTTTAAGCTAAAGTCCTCTCGATATCTTGAACCTTAATATCTCAAACTTTTTGGTATCTCGAGCAATATTTTTGGTCCACAGGGCAATTAAATTAATTGCCCTGTGGACCAAAATTTAAATTCAATTTAAATTCCAATTTTCGAAAGAAAAAAAATTTTTAATTTGATTTTTTTTAAGAATCAAATTTCTGAAAAGTTTTCCTTTAATATATTAATTTATTCTTTTTGTCAAACGCAACAACATGCCACTCGTTAAACGAAAACTCACAAACAAATCTATAATAGAAAAATGCAAGGCATTAAAAGACCTAGAGACAGGGATGTCTAACAAAGAGGTTGCCGAAAAGTATGGATTCCCAAAGAACACATTATCAACCTTGATTAAAAATAAAACCAAATTATTAACCTCACTGGAAAAAAATGGCACAAAATCTAAACGGAAGAAACTTCGTAGTGGTAATTTCAAAAATGTAGACAAGGCCATATACCCGTGGTTTGTTGCAAAAAGAAGTCAACAAGTACCAATTGATGGTACCATACTAAAAAAAAAGGCACTAAAATTTGCAGAAGCATTAGGAGAGTTAGATTTTAAAGCATCTGATTGTTGGTTTCATAATTGGAAAGAAAGGTCAGTTAAATTTTGTCAAATTTTGTTCAATTTTAATATAAACAAATAACATGTATCTGTTTATATTTAATTTATTTAGTTTTTTAAACGTGTAATTAAAATTCAATTATTCTGTTCCTCTTTTTAGGAACAGCATCAGCTTTAAAATAATCTCAGGCAAAAGTGCCGCCGTGACGTATAATATGACTGCTTTGTGGAATGAAACTACACTTCCATCATTGCTTTTGAATTACAAACTTGAAAACATTTTTAATGCCGATGAGTTTGGACTATTTTACCAGTGCCTACCAAACAAAACATACCATTTATCACGAGAAAAATGTTTTGGGGGAAAAAATAGTTAAGTCAGACTAACAGGCATAGCAGCAGGGAGTGCAACGGGAGAAAAATTACCTATGTTTGTTATTGAAAAATTCTAAAAATCCACGGTGTTTTAAACACATTAAACAACTTCCTTGCACATATAAAAATCAGCTAAAAAGTTGGATGACCGGAGACCTTTTTACAGAATGGGTAATGAAACTTGACTCATTTTTTCGTGCTCAAGACAGGAAAGTAGCACTCTTGGTGGATAACTTTTCTGCCCACCCACACATTGAAGGGCTAAGCAACATCAACCTAATATTTTTCCCCCCTAACACCACATCTGTCCTTCAGCCCATGGATCAAGGCGTAATACGAAGTCTTAAAGCTCATTATTGTCACAAAATTGTGCGTTTGTGTATCAAGGCTGTTGATAATAACGAACCCATGCCAAAAATTTCTATACTTCAAGCAATGAAAGATCTTGTTTCTTTGTGGAATGCTGTGTCAAAGGAGACTGTCATCAACTGCTTTAAAAAAGCTGGTATCAGCAAAACAAACAAGAGTATTGAAGAAGCTGATGATGATCATCCTTTTAACTTTTTGACAGAAGAACTTAACCGTTTGCGAGAGTTAGATACTCATGCCGTCCAAGAAGATCTCTCAGCGGAATCTTACATTGGTTTAGATTGCAATGTAGTAACCACCGGTTCACTTGCTACTGATGCTGAAATCATTGCTCAGATTTTAGACCCTAATTTTGAAAACAATGATATTGAAGTTGAAGATAGCGTTGACGAAGCTATTGACGTGGAAGCCCTGCCACACCCATCTGATATTCAATTAGAAATTGCTTTTAAAACGATTCAAAATGCTTCGCTATACAGCTCAAAATACGGAAATGAAATACAATCCCTAGCACTAAAACTTGAGGATTTAATGAAGATGGAAAAGATTGATAATTTAAAGCAATATCAGATAACAGATTTTTTTCCAAAAGTTGTAGTTTTTGTTGTTAATGATTTTCAAATAACTTGTTTTAATGAAAGTCTGGCAATTTTATTTATTTTCAACCCTTTTCTTGATAACTCAAACTCTCAATATCTCGAACTTTTTTCCAGTCCCCTTAGTGTTCGAGATATCGAGAGTCGATTGTAGTTATAAAGTCTGTAGATATGTCAAAAAAAAGTGTGAATGTGTTAAAAATTTTGTGTTTTAATTTTTAAAAATTCTGCCTAAATGTTTTTTTAAACATTCCTATTAATATAAACACAACTTTTCTCAACGCTTAGGGATCACTTTTAGAATAGATGGTTAAAAGCATTTGATAAATATGCATTTGTAAAAATTAGTTTTCTTTATTCTTTTCTTGACTCCTTAAGAATTAAACATACTTTTTTTTTTTTTACATTAAACATTATTTGGTACATTTAACTGAAATGTATTATATATGGTTCAGAAATGAAGTGTTTTTTTTTGTATCAGAGATATCGATAAAATAGAAACTGAAATACCACTATTACCACCAGTTAGTATAAACATTAAAAAGTTATGTTGTTTAACTACATCAATAAGTTAATGTTCTAATCTTTGCACACTTTATAGTAAATTTTATTTTAAAAGCATAATATACAGTTATATTATATGATATTAAAAAAAAAAAGAAATAGTAAAAAAAATTTCCCTAATAGAATTAGTTACATCAAATGTATGATTTTATGTTGAAGTGTGTACATGAAATAAGTGTGAAAGAAAAAAAACAACTAGATAAAGGTTCTCATCATTTTTTATATAGAAATAGGTAATAATTTTAATACAATAATAAATTATAATAAAATATTTCAAAGAAATTATTTTATTCCTGTGGGATCTAATAAAATATTGAACTTTTGTTTTGGTGGTACACATAAGCTTGCACACAGAGTAAAAATCAAAACTATTTGATACTTTTTAAACAACATTTTTTTCCTTTTTTTCTATAATACTTATTCATTAATTTGCAATGATTTTTAATTCTGGGCAGTTTAAAGGATTTGCTATTTTAGACAACTTTTCTCATCATTTTTATACCATACCACAGCCAGTTTTCTGTATTGACACTTGTAAACGCTCTTTAACATGTATTTTACTAGAAAGTGTGGAATCAAAAATGTAGTGTGCCGATTTTTTGTCATACCTGCAATTACCTTGCCAAATCAAAGCATTTTTAGCAAACTTAACATGTTTTGTGTATTTATATTTCTAATCTACTTTTCCTGTATATTTATGCTTTAGACAGCACCAGGAATATTTTAAATAATTTAGAAATTTTTAGAAATATATTTGTAATTAAACTTTCTTCAGCAGTTCTTGCACTTTCATTTTAAGCTTCAGAACGGCACTTTTGTGATTTGAAAGCTCAAAAAACATGTTTATTTCAAACTTTTACAACCAAACTATGAGAAAATTCTTATCTTTTTGCGTGTTCCCTTAGTGCAAGGCTTGGATTATTCATAAAACTATTAACCAGTTTTCTAACCAGTTTTATATCTTGAAAACCCTCCTTTCCAACATTTCCAGTTTTGCATTTAATTGATTTTGTTTAGGAAAAATGTTAATTAACATGACTAACGGTCTAGGGATTTATTTGTAACTTTTCTGCTTTTGAATTGTAGCTTCTATTCAGATTTTCCAAATATTTGTGTAAAATACTTTTTCTAATGTCTTCTTCTTTTATTAATTTTAAAACATATTTTAAGTTAAATGGGTAAACTAAAACATTTTTTTGTAATTGTTATATGTTGCCAACAAATTATAAAAACAATTACAAATATATTACTACAACCATTGAAAAAAAATGACGTGTTTACTCTTTCATATTTATTTCATGTACATACTTTGAACTGGTATTCAAACCTTTATTTTCTAATAAAAATACATATAAATTGAGTTTATAGTTTCAAGTCAGACTGACTTATGTAAATTTGATGTAGATGTTGCAGAGCAAGTCTTTAATCAATGCATTTCAGATAATGGTCTACCTCCAAAAGATCCCCAATTCAAAATTACGTGCTCTTATGAGTTTCTTGAAGATACCTTTGCTCCATGGTGCACTATTTCCACAGATAGTAACAAGCAGCAGTATCCAAGCAAATTATTGGAAAATTCTTATAGAACATCATTTTTCTCAATATTTTCTGGTATAAGAACAAGGTTTTTAGTCAATTGGATGAGAAAAAATGATTTCAAACAAAATCATCCTTTGAAGTTTATGGTATTGCTTTCCTTTTTTAATTATTTTTCAGTGTTTTTTTTAGTTTTGTTATATATATATATATATATATATATATATAAATATATATATATATATATATATATATATATATATATATATATATATATATATATATATATATATATATATATATATATATATATATATATATATATATATATATATATATATATATATATATATACATATTACTGATTCATTCAGTTTGCAATCTTTTAAGTTGTCTGTCAATCGTTATCTTGCACTATAAACATCCTTCTTTCTCTTCCAGTTACCCCAAAAACAGAATAACCTTTATTAGAGTTGGAATAAGTAATTCCAACTCTAAAAGTGGTTGCTTACAGCCTTGTTGGAAGTGAAGATCTTGAAAAAAAATAAGACAAACGTTTTATTTAAATTTTAAATTAAATAAATAAAAAAAAAAACATGAAAGTATTTTCACGATTCTAAGTAATAATTCATACATATAAGAAATTATACATTCATATAAGTAATAATTTATACATATAATTAATAATTTATACATATAATTAATAATTTATACATATAAGTATTTTCACCATTTTTCATAAAAGTATTTCATGAACAAAAAAAGTTTGTTGCAATGTAAAAAAACACTTGTTTTTCGGCAAGCTCTTTTTATGCGCTTGCCATAAAAAAAAAGACTGACATCTGATAACTTAGTTATAAAGATTTTATAAATACTTTTAAAAATTTTTATGTTAGGTTCAAAATGAGCATACTGATCTTCTGTGTCATCCTTTGGTTACTTACTTGTTGAGGTGCAAATGGAGTTGTTGTGGGCGATACGCATATTATTCCAGACTGTTTTTGTATATGATTTTTCTTTTATTTATTAATGGTTATGCTTTAACATTGAGGTCTAATTTATACCAACTTAATACAAATGAAACAGTTTTATATTGCCAACCTATTCATGCAGTAAGTGTAAGCTCTTCAGTGAAGTTTTTTGTTAATCCTGCCAGATATCTTGTCATAATATTATGTTCTTTGAGTTTAGGAATAGAGGTATTTTTATATTTCATTTTTATTTTATTTTTTTATATTGATTAGTTAATTGTTATAAAGCAAAATAATCAAAAGGTTATTAAAGTTACAATGCAGTACTTTAAGATAGGTTTATTATTAAAAATTATCAATAGTTTTTCCTGTAACAAATAAAATCTTAATAACTATGACACATTAAAATGCACAAGGTATTTGTAAATTATTTTCTTATATTTTTCCACACTTTGTTGTTGTAAAAAAAAGTGCCTAATTTTTATATAAAATAAGTGCTCAATTTAATTGAAAAAACTGATGGCGTATATAATGTGCTTTATCTGAAAGTAGAAAAGTGAATGTTGTCAAGAGTTTACAATATTACTTTTATTTACTCAAATTATTTTTAGTCTACACTAAGCTCTATATGGAAAAAAAAATAGAGTATATGAGAACTCCAATGAATGAAAAAAATTTAATAAATAGTAATGACGCCTGTCATTATTATTTATTAAAAACTCAAAACATTGGCAGACATCCAAAATTAACAAACTGGTTACTTTCAGCTGCCTTTCTGGCAACCAACCAATAGTTTAAGTGTACGCCCCTGCAAGAAATAGAGAGCTATCAACTGTTTGATGTTTGTACATTATTGAAATGTAATAAAAAAACATATAATAAAATAATATAATACAAGTAAAAAAATATATATAATAAAAACGTTAGTAGGTAAAAAATACCATACAGTTCAAAAATAGAATTGAACAAATTATATACTAATTAGTCAATTTGCTTTAATGACCTCAACTAGACAATATGGCGTTGAGTTGAAAAAAATTTTGGATTTCTTCTGTTTTTATTTTCAAGTTACTTTTGCATCTAAATACTCAACAATTTTTCTGTCCAAATGTACTACAAATATTCTGTTGAATTCAATTCTAAATTTTGAGATTTCCAAAACCTTGAGGGAGTATGTATCAAAATATAGCTTTGTTTTTCTACATCACAGTTCATTCAAGCAAGACTTTCTAGACCCCATTTAATGAGAAAAGATTGTGTTTTGACACAGAATGAAAGAGGAATTCCATTTTTATTTTGAATCTAATACTAAAATTTTTCTTAATTTTCGAAATCAACTATAATGAAAATTTGAAAAGCTTTTTGTCTTCGTTAAAGTCAAATGTTGCTTTGTTGATGCCATTTTACTGAAAAACTTTTTTATTTTAGGACAAAAATGTATTTATTAGCTATTTCCAGTTTTTACTTACACACATTACTTTCCAGTTTTTTTAATGGAAAAAAAAAGACTCGTATTGTTAGCATATGATATTTTTTATTTTTATACTTTTTATAATTTTTATATTTTTTATAATTTTTATACTTTTTATAATTTTTATACTTTTTATAATTTTTATACATATTGTGCATAATATTTTTTGTGAAGTAAAAAAAAAAAACATATATATATGCATTTTTTTAATGAGCTGTTTAACAAATTTTAATTTCTCAATTTGAACAAATTTGAGAAATTAAAATTTTAAAACAAAGCAAAGCATATTTTTTTTAAAAATGCTAAAAAAAGAAGATTTAGATGTTCAACTATTAATTTTTCTTTTCTATTTTTTTATTTTTTTATTTCAGTTTTTTTTTATTCTATAACAAAATTAAATATATACTTAAAGACCTTTTTCATATATTATTTTATTTATTATTTTCATAATAAATTTTAATCTTTTATATTTTATTTACCTCTATTTTTACTTTTGATTTTTATAAAGTATTTTATTTTCCCTAATTTTTTTCAATGTGATATAAATTTGTTGTTGCATAATTTTTATCATTGAATTTTTTAAATTTATTTCTTAGTTTGTTAAGCTTCTTACAGATCCCTACCATTACATTCATATACACAGGGTTGTTGAGTTAGCAGCTTATATTTGTTCATTGATTTATGCAACACAATTTAAACCCTTTGACAGTGATGTAAGCAGTTTTCGGTAATTTTGATTTTTATTAAATTTTTTTTAAAAATTTTAAATGCAAATACATACATATATATATATATATATATATATATATATATATATATATATATATATATATATATATATTAAAGGTTAAAATAGTGTGAATCTGAACAGTATATAAATGAATGAAATGAGATAAGAGCACTAACTAACCTCCAAATCAATAAGAATATGTGACCATGTTTAACTACCAATCTGTCTGGAACCATTATCATCTTTAAATTATGAACTAAAAGCTCTCAACTTTTTTTTAACCTAAAAATTCAGTTATTTCAACTTTTTATTAAAAGAATTTTCAATATTTTATGTTGTATAACTTGTTTACTTTATATTAGTATTTGTAATAGTATACATAAAAGTCCTGGTATAAGGTATTTATATTATATTAGTACTTGTTGTTGTTTATATTAGTAAACGTAAAAGTCCTGAAAACATTACAATTTGTTTCAAAATATACTTTTTTGATTTGGTTTGAACACACTAGTATTTAAAACATTAAATTTTTAAAATTCTTGTTAATAACCACATTTTTTACCTAAAAAACATGAGATTAGATTTAAATATTTTTAATTTTGTTGAAAATTTTTATACTGATAAAAATAGATTTCTAGGGGTGGCAGTTAACTTAGTTTTAGAAATTTATTCGGCTAAATTTTTAGCCGAAATTTTTAGTTGACATTTTAGCTCAACTAAAATAAGTCCTCTAACTTTTTAGTCTAAAATTAGTTGACTAAAATGAGTACTAAAAAACTGAACAACCCCCATACCATGAAATTTTCACACACAGGGACTTTATTTAGGTGGTTGAATACTATTATGTCGTTTTAAAAACACTGTCCCAATTATGGTTCTTAGGGCCCAGTTAAATCAAGTTCATAATGTATTTAACCAAATGGTTAAATACATTATGAATGGTTATAAGCATTTTTTTCCAGTTCTGAGACATTGCAACAATTTTAAATAAATAGTGGGTACAGGTGTAAAAAAGATGCCATTTAGACATTTAATAAAAGTTAAATTTTGGGGCATTAAATGAATGTCTAATTGATATCTTTTTTATGTTTAGTGCACTCTGGTGAGTGTATGATTTTAGTCAAACACCATTGATAACTGTTAATAGAGTGAATGAAACACCGATATTAAACATCAATATCAAACACCAATATGAAACACTAATATCAAACACCAATATCAAACACTAAGATAAGTGTTAATAGAGTGAATGCATCTTTTGCCTTTAAAGTTTATTTGTTAAATAACAAGACTTTCAATATTTCCGTTTAAAGTTGCTTTTCCAAAAATTACATATTCTCAGTCATCTAATTTTAGTTAAACTAAAAAACTAGTAGACTAGATTTAGTTAACCTCAAAAGTTAGTTGACTAAATTTAGTTGTAGTTTTTTTAATTTTAGATTTCTTTATAGTACAGACTCTTTAGTCTAATTTATAACTAATTTCATAACTTTTTGGTTTCCTGAAAGAAAAATAGAGAAACTTTGATAAGATCTGAAAGTAACTTTAAAAAATTATTGTTTTCATTTATCTTTTTCACTCTGCATCACTTTTTATTGTTTTCAAGTTCATTCTGCATCACTTTTTATTAAAACTGGTTTTCGAGTCACAAAATACAAGTGTTTCAAAAATTAAAAGTATGGGTAGTGGGGACATAACCGCATAAAGAGGCACAACCGTTTTTTATCATTTCCCTTGGAAAAATATTATCTAATATGGCAAAAAACATACCACGCATTAGTAAAATAGTTTCCTTCATTTTGCATATGTCAAAAAGTGTGCTTGTTACGTTTCTGAGAAATTGTGCATAATAATGTTTATTTTGATAAAAATTTTATATTTACATCATATTTTTCCAGACCTTTTTTTTGAGAATTAAGCAATGTTTGATTTTAGTGTTAAAGACATGTGTTATCAGCATTATTTCATCAAATGAAAATCATTTTTGATATCAGCATAATCTAATAAGCAAGCCATGAAACTGAATTCTTTCTAAAAACTCTCTTCTGGGGCAGAACTCTCTTCTAGAGCAAAACTCAAAATGTAAATATAAAGAATGCCTGCAAATTATGCAAACATGCAATAAAATCATCAAATAATCTGAGCTGTGAAAATTGTAAAGAAAATGTACCATGAAAGGTGTACCCTCAACAATTTTTGTGAGGGTGCGGTTGTGCCTAACAATGGGGGAAAAACTGTTTTTTTCACTTATTGTACTTTTTGTGAAATAACATTTTCAAAAACCGTTTAATTTTTTTTTTAATTGTATCAATTTAAAGCTTAATGATGTGGTTATTGAAATAAACTTGTAAAAAAACACATTTCGTTTTTATCTTCATCTAGCATTATTCCAAACTTTATGGGGGCAGTTATGCCTCCACTTCCCCTACTTTATATTAAAAAACTTTTTTTTTTAAAAATTTTAGAAAATTAATTTGAAGTAAATGTTACTGTTTTATAAGATTATTAGAGTTTCAAATTTTGAACAGTATTTTTTTAAGTAATTACATGCACCTTTTAATTTATTAATTACTAAATTATTAAATTATTTTTAAGTAATTAAATGCACAAATTCATTGATGAGCACAATGCATTATTGAACATATTTCAAAATATTTCAAGTCAAAAAAAAGCAAACATAACATAAAAATTATTTTAAAAGCATCACTCAGTTCTGGATCAATGTTACTATCAGAAATTTTGGCTTCAGTTGTTTTGGCCAACTCCTGATGCTGTATTAAATCTCTTTATGCTACTCTTCATGTGGAACCAAGATGTAGTTAATTATCTTCTCAATGTTAATTTTTTTTTTGTATCGGTTCTTTTTCTGCAGGATAGTTTGGAGCTGTGGGCAGTTAAACAGCCTATGGGGGAGGGAGCAGACTGTTTATAGTAAAATATCTTTTAACAAATACTTTGTTTTGCTTTTTCTATACAAATTGAAATAGCATTAGTATTTATGAAATAGATACTGTTTTTTTTTCTAACCTTTTTTACCTTTGGTCTATTTAGAAAGGCAAGATTTTTTGAAGTAGGCTTTTATTCATGTTTTTTAATTTAAAAGGAAAAAACTTGGCAAACTGTGAATTCGTCAAATCAAAGTTGTGTTTGATTTAATATAGTCTGAGGCTTCATTCAAAGTATTTATGCAGTCATGTGTTCTCAGTCATTTAAGTATGAGACTAATATCTTGATCACAAGGGAGAAATCTATCCCCTGGCACAGGGAAGTATTGAGTAACTATGTTGAATTCTTCTGAATCAATAAGAAAAAAATTAAAAATGGTTCTTATTGAGACAGCTTTAATTGTTACAGTCTTAGTTCTCTATTGCTTCCAGTTTTTATCCAGCAATAGTCTTTAGATATTTAGAGCATCATGGGATCTATTTTTTGGAATTTTTTGAAGTGATATTGTTTTCATAAAGTCAAATGCAAGATAAAACATAGCTTTCATATTTAGCAGCATCAGACGACTCTCACTTTTTTTTTTTTTTAACTGAAAGTTTAGCTTCAGCAGCTTGTTTTGTAACAAGAGTTGCAAAATAAGCTGCTGAAGTAGTAGTGAGTAGATAATTAATTTTATTGTTTGATACATGTGCAACACGTGTCTACCTGTCCAAATATGTAGTTAAAAATTTCCCTGTAATCCAGTAAAATAATTTGCTAACTTGTTTGCTAAGGTTTGGGTGTTTAGCACATAACAATATCCACATATGCTTTATATTGAACTCTTCTGATATAATGCATTTTTTGCCAATATAATGTGAGCATTTGAAGGAAAATGTTTTAATATGCTTAGGTCCAGCATAGTGATCATCTATCTTAGGTCCAGCATAGTGATCATCTTGTGGTAAAGACTAGTTGACATCTTTTTTTCTCTTATTTTCTTGTTTTTTTCCCATGATCTTAAGTTGTCTGATTCTTTTTATCTTATTTTCTTACTTATTAAAAGTATAACTAATAAAGCATTGAAACTTTTATTATTAGTATCCAACATTTTTTGACAATTGAAAGATACAGTCTTTGGACCTCTGTCTGTATTATCTCTTGGTTGTCTTTGATGGAAGTCAACTACATCAATAAACCCTTGTATTACAGATCCTGTTCACATGACTTAGTATGTCTGACCCTTAAGCCTTCTTTGATTTTATTCCTATTACAATTGCTATCATTATTGTAAATTTCTTCTCTCTTCTGAGGACTACTATTACAGTTTAAAACTTTAATACCCTAATTTAGGGTATTAATACTCATCCATCAAATAAACTATGGAATGATTGTTACAGACAGGAGCATCCAAGGAATGTCTTTGATTTCTTTCCCTAAAGTAAAGACTAATACAGTTAGAAATATGAAACCATATCAAGCTCATTTTGGTAAAAAATTTGATTTATGTCCTTTTAACAAAAAAAGATTCATATAAGAGTAATTTTTTTTTCTCTATTTTTTTGATTTTTTTTCTAAAACAGAAAGCCCGTTTTTAACAAAGTTTATTTATCATCAAAAGCATAAATTGTTAACAAAAACAAAAAAAAGGTATATATCTTTTCAACAAAATTTACTTAAAAAGTAACAGTATATAAATATTTAATGAAGTATATATCTTTTCAATAAAATTTACTTAAAATTATAAGTAATAAAAAAATATATAAACTTGAGGCTCATAAGATTTTAGAAATAATAATAGTTTTAAATAAAAAATCTTTGAATTTTAAAATCTTTATAAAATTCAAAATCTTACCTCTTACATTTTAGGAGTCTCAGTACAAGTTTTCAGTACAATCTTACATATTATAAGATACCAGTTTAGTTCTTTTTTTTAGTGGCCAATTCTTTTGGACACTAAAATTTCAGCAATTTCCAAGTAAATAATTGATGCAGTGTGAATGCAGATGTAAACATCTATTTTTTCAGGGTGATGCAGAATGAATATATATTTTTATACCAAAAGGTTATAACACTAGTATTCAGGTTTTCACAAATATTTTAAATATAATTTTAAACTGATAATCAATATAAATAATATAATAATCAATACTAACTAACATAAAGATTTAATTTAAGGCTTTATAAGTTATATTTTTACTATCTTTGATAATGTCTCAATAAAAATTGTGTATTCCCTTTATGTAATTTAATAATGACAAAGTTTTAAACTTAAAAAATTCTTAAATTTTTTTCTAGAATATAAATGCTTTAAATTATTTTATTAAACACCTTTTTAACATTTCATTGTTATAAAAATCAAATAAACCTGACAGGTAGTTGAGAATTATCATAAGTAAAAAAACAAACAACATTTTAGCTGACATTTAAGAATCTTTCTTAACAACAATAAATGATTTTTTAATGACTTATTTAGCAAAAACCTTCTTCTGATCTTTATTAGATTGGTATGCATATTGTCTAAAACAATAAAAGTATATACTAACATATAATAGACCTTTACAATATTAAGTACATTAAATTCTATAGTAACTTTCTTTTTTTTTTTTTTTTTGCATCATAGTTTTTTTACTTGAAGTATGTTTTTATCTTGCTAGATGTTCATATTTACAACGTCAACTTGGAGGAGCTATTGTAACACTATCATGGTTAGGTTTTGTGCTGCTTATGAGAAGGTTTCCTAAACTTGGAATTTATGTTGTTATGTTCCTTCATATCTTAAAGACATTTACCCAAATTTTTCCTATCTGGGTTTTATTTATTATTGCATTTGGTTTGGGTTTTCATTTAATTATGTTTGTTGAAGTAAGTTGCTTCCATTAAATTTAGATTTTACAGGCCAATTGAATATTTGCAAGTTAAACGTAACAGTTTTTGTTATCAAAATTAAATCAATTTTATTTTTTATTTTTATATTATATTCTGTTTATCTTTATTATGAAAAACTTAGTCATATAATTTTTTTTTTAATTTTAGCTGAGCTCATTTTCAACACCTGCTCGCTCTTTTGTTATGTTGTTAACTGCCATGGGTGGAGAATTTAATTTTGACACTATATTTAACCCTGATCCACCATTCTATACACTGGCTATTGCTTGGCCAATGTATGCTATTTTTCTGGTTATTGATTGTCTTGTGCTTATGAGTTTGTTGGTAATTGTTTTTTACTTTTTAACAATCATTTACGTTATTACAAACAAACATTGACATATTGTAATAAATAATTGGTAAAAATAGTTTTAACATAATTTCTAGATTGCTTTAGCAGCTGCTGATATTAAAAGTCTACGAAAACAAGCTGTTCTAAAAAGATTAACCATGCTAGTAAGCTAAAAAACATTTTAAAAATTATTTTGTTATTCTAACACAATCGCTTTTTTATTTTATTTTCACCATTTTTTTTTTGTTTACAATTATTTTAGTTTGCATATTTTTAAGACTTGTCAGTGTTCTCCTTGAAATTTTTAGTTGTTTCAAAAGGAGATTTTTTATAACAACTTTAGCCCACATTTAGTATATTGCTAAAACGCATATAGCACATTTAACATATGCAAAAATGCAATAAACTGGAATTGAAAAATCAAAAAACACATGCTAAAATTACCTAGAGAATATTATGTTGCACATGCTAACAGGAAACCTGTTTTAGTTAAAGTCATAAAATTAGTGGAGTGATCAATGTGATTGTTTGTTACGCAATCATTTAATGTACAGCAACCAAACTTTGTGTCTTTAAACAAATTGCTCACTGATTGGATGCAAGAATATAAAGTCATTTTAAAGAACCCATACAAGCTCTTTCAAATTAAGCAAGAAGATAGAAAAGAGCGTGTTTAATAGTACATTTAAAATAGTATGGACTGTTAGAGGGATAATTATGCAATTTTTGATAATAAATGAGGATTAATTGCCCTACCACTGGAAAAGTGCTTAATACAAAAAATTGTTAAGGCAAAAAGGATCACTGTGTTTACTCAGGTCTTTAGTGACCCATGTGTTGTTGTTAAGCTAAAGTTTTTGTTTAATGGAAGAGCACTGAAACTAAACTGAATCTACTTGAAGGAATAGAATGTCGTTGGACTCCTAAAGAATATTATTGTCTTAAACAAATGTTAAGTGCAATTTCAAACCTTCATAAATTACTTAACTTTGGGATAAGTACAGTGCTCAGATAGTGAGGTAAAAAAATATTTATTATGTATTATTTTGTATGTATACAACACTGTCTGTCTGTTGAAATGTGTGTGTTATATGAAAGGTCATGTGATATCCTAGCTGCATATAACAACATTGAAGTACTGAACAACAGCTGAAACGAGATTTTGATCTTCAATTGAACTACACCTAGAATGTAAAAATGAGGAGTGGAAGGATGCAAAAGGCATTATAAACTGAAAAAAATTCAGCTGTTTCAGAACAGATAGTGTCATTAGAGCAAGGTGATCCTGATGTTGTCAACATTTTTAAAAACCACTTTGAAGACTTGTAACATTTTAGCATTTCTTTTTTTTTTCTTTTTTTTTTGCTTATTTTAAAAAAGACTACCTTCTGAGTTAAACAATTTTTTTCTTGTGTATTCATGTTTTTTAGAAAGTTTTTTTTTAATTTTGACTCGGCTGTTTACTAAGACCATGTTTATTAGATTATAGAATTGTTTCAAGCTCTCTTGGTAATTATGAACACATTCCCTTGCTTGTTAGGCAATTAAGAATAGATAAGTTTTTAATGGTTTTCTAACTATTTTCTAACTTGCTGCTTTTAAATATTTTATTATTTTAGTATTATCATTTTAGATTTTTTTTCCTTTAAAATATTAATTTGATATTTATGTTTAAAAGGTAGATTTGACATTGGATGTAGAAAAAGCACTTCCCATATCGTTGCAAAAGAAATTAGTGAAAATGGAAGAATCAGTGTATCCAAATGTACATAAATCATGGAATCTCTGGTCTTTTTGGTCGTTTGAATCCCCTTCTACTAATATAAGAAAAAAGGTTTAACTTGCTAAAAGTTTTATTCATGTTTTTTTTGGTATTGAAAATAGTGAACCATATACACACATTCGGTCATATATACTATATGTATGATAGAATAGAAAAAAAAATTTTTGTAAAAAAATATTTTTTGAGAAGTTTTAAGTAAATGAGATTTATTATATTAGGTTTTTAGCAATTAGTACATATATTTGTGTAGTATCTACAGTCTTTTATAGTATGTTGTTTTCTCTTGTACTCTCTCTTTCTTTAGTCTTGACTACAGCATTTATACAAATATTCCTAATCCTCATTTATGATTTTGTGTGTAAATCATACTAAATTTCCTTAAAAAAATTATTTGTATAATAATTATTGCAATGTCTACGGGGAATTATTGAAGTACCCATCATTACACCTTATTTTTTTTAGAAACGGGTCATAATTATCAAAATGATTAAGTTTTTTTGAAATTTTGTAACTGTATTAGCATTTGTTGATTTAATATCATTTGTTTTTACTTTTTTTAACCAGGTGATAATCAGTGTTTGTCTATAAACGTGTTATTTATTTCATTTTGATTGCTTTAATTGTCTGTCATACTGATTTTTTATTTTTTATTTTTCAGTAAATTATAATAACTTTTTCATTTGAGGTTTCAGCATTAAAATTTGGTAGTTTTTTCAATTGACTTTTCTCAGTTGCTTGTTTGTTCTTTTGGGTATTTAAACACTTCAATGCACATGTTTTCCAGTGTCTATGCTTGTTTGTAGTAATATTTCTTCTGTAAAAATTTTTTCAGTTTTTTAAAAAATTTAAAGTAGTGATTAGTGTTAAAGGTGTTGAAGGTGTTAATTGGTGTTGAAGGTGTTGATTGGTGTTGGGGTGTTGATTGGTGTTGGGGTGATGAAGGTGTTAATTGGTATTGGGGTCTTGAAGGTGTTGATTGGTATTGGGGTGCTGAAGGTTTTGATTGGTGTTGAAAGTGTTGATTGGTGTTGATGGTGTTGAGGTGTTGAAGATGTTTGGGTGTTGAAGTTGGTAAAGGTTTTGATAGTTGTCCAAGTGTCGAAGATGTTGATAGATGTTGAAAGTGTTTATAGGTGTCGAAGGTGATGAATAGGTGTTGATTTCTCAACAAAAACTATCGTAATTTACTGCCATTACAAAATCTTGATTTTTCCAGTCAAAATCTTGATTATTCCAGTAAAAAGAAATCATTCAACTATTTGAAATGGATAATTTGGTATTTCACTAGATATCACTATTTCTATTGTTTGTTACAACTTGAATAATTTTTAGTTTAATAATAACAAAACATTATTTCTCTTGTTCTCTTTTTTGTCTTTTCTATCCTCTTCTGTGTTTGATGTTGTTTTTGAAATATGATGCATTGCATTGATGTTTGAATTACAATATCTTGTCTCCTAAAAGTTATTCCAGTAATCAGTATCCATTATGGGTATTATAATAATTGTTAACGGTTTCTGATCACTATATGCAATAACTTTTTTTCTATAAATATATCAATAAAAACATTCACATCTAATGTATGTAGGCCAACTGAGCTGATGTCATTGACCTTGAGATAATCGCAATTCGAATATTTTGAATTAATACTGCTCCAACACTAGTTTTGCAAGATATATACAAAACTAGTGTGTTTTAAATTCGTGGCGATACATCTACCATGTGTCATCACCAGTTTCTTTACTTCACGTATATGGTTTTAAATTTTCTTTTCTCCACAAAGCAATGGTTATTGAAACCTTGACTGATTTTTTTATGAACACACTATTTAGTAGATTTGGTGTAAATCTTTGCATCATCAGGATAATGTATTGATCTGTATATATATATATATATATATTATATATATATATATATATATATATATATACGTAAATATATATATATATATATATATATATATATATATATATATATATATATATATATATATATATATATATATATATATATATATCATGGCCTACTATAGTGGCAGGCCTAGTAAACGTATGGCTAAAAAAAAAACTGTAGGTGAGTTTTTATTTTATAAAGTTCTAGTAATATGGCACGTTTTAAAAAAAGAACCTGGTTTTAAATTTAACATGTGATACATTTTAATTTTATGTATATTAAATTTGCTTTTTTTTTAGAGCTAAATAGTTAAATTTGAAGAATATGTTTTTTAATTGATGTGTCACTGGATGCAGAGGTAACTACGATGTTTCAAAGTCTGTAAAAGTTTTTCGCCTTCCAAATAAAAAAAATGTGGATGAATAAAAAAGATGGATAAGTGCTATACCTCGAGATAATATTCCAGATAGGCCAAATACTTTTATTTGTGAAGATTATTGGCCTAAAGACTATAGAAAAGTTTTAGTTTACGAGAAGTTAAAGCCAAAACATCCACCATCTGTATTTTCTTGTGTAAATCCAAGTCAAATTCCGACTCCACTTGCACCACCAAGACCAACTACTAAATCATTGCCACTTTATTTGTGAAGACCAACTACTAAATCATACTTTTTCATCCACCATCTGTATTTTCTTGTGTAAATCCAAGTCAAATTCTGACTCCACTTGCACCACCAAGACCAACTACTAAATCATTGCCACTTTGTTTGTGAAGACCAACTACTAAATCATACTTTTATTTGTGAAGATTATTGGCCTAAAGACTATGAAAAAGTTTTAGTTTACAAGAAGTTAAAACCAAAACATCCACCATCTGCATTTTCTTGTGTAAATCCAAGTCAAATTCCGACTCCACTTGCACCACCAAGACCAACTACTAAATCATTGCCATCTTTAAGAAGTACTTTGCTTGATGAAATAGAGGCTTTTGTGAAAGCTGATAATATTTCTTCTTTCAAAGATTTGTTTAATAAAATAATGTCTAAAACTTTTTCCTACTCAATAATATCAAGTATCAATGAAAACTGTTTACATCTTCAATCTGTTCAACATCTTCAATCTGCTGATATATTGGACAACTTGGGTGTTCCAAAGTTTATTTTGAAAATATAAAATGATTTATCCTTTGATAGCTATCACTGTGGTGTTAAGTGCACCATAAAACCTTTTTCTAACAATCATATGAGTATTATTGACTGAATTAGCTGTCTCCTTGCTGCAATACACTATCTGAATTCTTTACCAATCGATCACAAGAAAAATATTATTACTGAACAGATGTTAAGTATAAACTCATTAATGTTTATTGGTGAAAAAAAGTATTCTCCTGATATGGTTGCTTTTATGTGATGACTACAAACTACCGAGTATATCTTTGATGACAAAGTTGACATCTAAAGTTAGAAGTGTTGGAGATGAGGATTTTTTAAAGTTGTATTTTGAAAAATGCTCTATGTCTCAAAGACAGGTTATTCTACTAATTGATGAAATTTATGTTAAACCACAGTTAATATATCAAGGAAGTAACACTTTTGGTAAATCTGTAAATTCTCCAAATGAGTTAGCAAAAACAGCTTTGGGTTCAATGATTTGTTCTTTATTTGGTGGAAAACAGTTTTTGTATAAAGCATTACCAGTAACAGGTTTAGATGCTAATTTTTAATACGATCAAACAGTACAAACAATTGAAGCGATAGAAAAATGTGGTGGTTCTGTTGTTGCTATTTATTGTGACAATAACAAAATAAATGAAAAGTTTTTTGGAATATTCATTCTCCGTAATACTTGGTGCACTAATGATAACATTTTTCTTCTGTATGACTTTGTTCATTTAATAAAATCTATTTGCAACGACTGGCTCACAGAAAAATCCCAAGAACTATGCTTTACTTACAAAGGTATTTCAAGAGCTGCAAAATGGTCAGATCTTAAAAAACTTTTTCTACTTGAAAAAGATGCTATTGTGAAACTGTCTAAACTTTATGAAACAGCAGTTTTTCCTAAACCAATTGAGCGTCAAAATGTGTCAACTTGTTTAAGAGTATTTTGTGATGAGACTGTAGCTGCTATAAAAACTCATCCATCCATAAAAAATATTAAAGACATCACAATGTTTTTATCTATTTTCATAAATTTTTTTAAAATAGTTAATGTTAAAGAACTTTATGAAGATATTTGTACTAGAGATAAATATCGTGCTGTTTTTTCATCAAACAATTATAAACGATTGAACTTTCTTTTAAATTTGGCTTATATGGTCGAAAAAATGGCTCCTGAAAAACAAGATCATAGACTAAAAAGTTTACCCAAAGATACTTCTCGTGCTTTTTCCCATACATGTCATGGGATGGTTGAACTAGTAAAACATTTACTAACTACAAGTCATAAGTATGTTTGCATTAGACATTTTACTAGTGACCCTATTGAGGAAGCATTTGGAAAACTTCGGCAAGGATCAGGTGGTACCTATTTTATAAATGTTTAGCAAATATTACAAAAAGTTGACATTAAAAAAACAAAACTTAGTCTAAATATTGGTATCACTGCTAATGATTTAGAAGTATCATCAAGCCTTTTGTGTGACAAATGTAATTATGTGTTGCAAGATCATATTTTGTTCAATGTGTTTCATATCTTCCAGTTATTAAAAGCAATTTGTCTAAAGAAATTAAAATGTCTCTGGTTTACATTGCTGGCTATGTCAATAGGGAAGATCCTTCAGTTGAAGATACATCATTTTGTTTTGAGCAGTTTGGAGATTATGTCAGAGAGATTAATTGTGATGGTTTAAGTTTGCCTGGGGATAACATTTGCCATTGGATATTTTATTCATACATTTTATTTCATCATCTTTACACTTTTGTCTGTCGTGTTAGCTTATTTAACTGTTTTTTGATGGTATCTGACTTTTATGGATTTATCAATGTTTCAAAAAAACATTGTAGAACCCTTGTCAACATATTTTTTAACAACTATTGCGATCTCTCTACCCCGTGATCTTCAAAGGAACCCAAATTGAAAATTATTTTAAATGTAGAATATATATATATATATATATATATATATATATATATATATATATATATATATATATTAATTATAGTTGTGAAACTTATAGTTGTGAAAAATATCTAGTTTTATATATAAATATTATATGTAAATACAGCTCTTTTTTAATTTAAATCATTTTAATTTACTTTAATCCATCAAGCACTCTCACAAAGATATATGCAAGCACTAATATGTATATATATATATATATATATATATATATATATATATATATATATATATATATATATATATATATATATATATATATATATATATATATATATATATATACACACTTACTAAAGCGTGTTTTGATAAGCATTTGCTTACTTTTTCTGCTTACCTTAAGTCATACTGTTTTTTTCAAAAAAGAAGAAGAAAAAACGAAGAATGATGAATAAAACGATTGCTTCCCCATCCTAAACCCTCAGTTTTTCTCAGTCGATTTAGCAGCACTCCACTGCGAGTCAGGCTATTTGTCAGTCAATGTATGTACTGAAGCCCCCAGCAGCAGGCTATTTCAGTATGATGTCAGATTGCTTACCTTTGTACGCAATACTATTTGTATATATATATATATATATATATATATATATATATATATATATATATATATATATATATATATATATATATATATATATATATATATATATATATATATATATATATATATGTATATATATATATATATATATATATATATATATAAATATATATATATAAATATATATATATATATATATATATAAATATATATATATATATATATATATATATATATATATATATATATAAATATATATATATATATATATATATATATATATACATATATATATATATATATATATATATATATATATATATATATATATATATATATATATATATATATATATATATATATATATATATATATATATATATATATATATATATATATATATATATATATATATATATATATATATGGGCATTCTGTAATTTAATGGAGAAATTTTTTTTTTTATTTTTTCTGCTCCCTGGCTATTTTTCCATTTCTATTGTTTATATGAGCATATTGCTAAATTTTTTTAAGCCTGAATTAATGTTTAAGGTTGCCACCGTGCGCTAGAATTAATAATTTATGTATTTTAATGGTTTTTTACCATATAAAAGCCTATATTTAATGTAATTTTTTATGCCATACATTTTAAGTTGGTAAACACTAAACAAACATATATATCAACAGAATTAATGGTAAGTTATATATATATATTATATTGTTAGTGAATTGTATAGTAATTAACAGGATTGTATGTGGCAAAAACGTGTTATAACATGAATTGACTTCTCAACTCAATCCCCTCGTGCTACACTCCATTGACTAGTTGACTGTTGTTAAGTGTGGGTGTTTTATTACATTATTCAGGTTTTTTGGTGTATCCTTTTATTATAACATTAAATAAAGGTAATGGTTTTTATTAGAATATATTATACCTAACTTTTACAGATTTTTATTTAAGTTATAGTTGGCAGCCTTTTGTTAGCAAATACTTTTACGCTGTTGATTTCAAAAATGAGTTTAATGTTCTGTTTGTTTCCTTTGGATGGGTTTAGTTTTATCTTAATATAGCTTAAACAACTACCTAATTTGAATACAATTTATATGTATAATATAAATATTATAATATAAATGAGTAAAACATATATATACCTTTAATATATTGTTAGTATATGATTGGTGATTGCTTTAGAAATGGCTGAATCAATTATATCAAAAAGACAACAGTCACAAAATATTTGGTTGATAGGAAATTCTATCGATACTCTGAGCCAAACAATCATTCCCACTAATGGGGATATTTTTAAATTATTTTTTCACCTTAAGAACTGTGAATTTAAAACTGAGAAATCAATAAAATCAAATTCAATTGTTGCTGATGCAGTATGTGAAGCAGTTCTAGAAATCTGGCATAAAACCGGTATTGAAACCCAAAGGAAAGATAAAATCAAATAAAAAATAACTAAATTGCACGATAAATACAACGTTCAAAAAAGAAAAGGCCAAATGAAACAATGAAACTAATCTAAATAATTTTGTAGCAATGCTTGAAAACTATTTTTTCCTACATTAATTGCCTACATTAATGCTGAAGAAACCATTCAGAAAGACAGACTACAGAACGATAAACAAAAAAGTGAAGACATTAAGTTTTTATTTGCGATCAAAGATAACAAAAGAGTAAAACTAGGAACACCAGATAATCAATACGCAAAGAAACTAAAAATGAAAGATGAACGAAGCAAGAGAGGGCAACATTGGTAAAAAAAGGCCTAAAGAATTCAAATATTGAATGTTTAAGCTCTTCAGAAAGTGAAGCAAATCTAGATTGTGATTCATCCTTAAGTGAAGCAAGCATCAGTGAAATACTTGTGAAAAAAATGCAAAATGATCAAAGAAAAACCTTAATAAATAATCAAACAACCGATAATGAAAATAAGGTTCAGCTACTATTGCCAAAAAATTCATTTTTGAATCCAAACATTTGCCAAACCGCTGTCAGGCTGAATTTGTCCTTAGGACAAAGAACAGCATTTTTGGGAGCTATTGCGAAGGAAAGAGGTGCTTCCTGTAGTAATGTTACACTATCAAAGACAAGTTCCTATAATGCCAATAAATATAATTGCCAAGACATTGCGAAAAACATCAAATCTGACTTTAACAAGCCGGACTTTCTAACAATTCATTGGGATGGAAAAATTATTGAAGGGGATGGGGAATAATTGGCAGTTTTAGTTGCAGGTGCACCAAATTATGTAGAAGGAAAGTTGCTGGGCATTTCAAAAATTATGAATGGGACAGGATTAGTCCAAGCAGAGACAAGCTTTGATCTCATTAAAGACTGGGAGTTTAACAATTCTACCATCAGTATGGTATTTGATACCACAGCTTCCAACTCAGGATGGAAAAATGGAGCTTCTGTCATTCTAGAAAAAAATTTGAACTCTAAGCTGTTTTATTTACCATGTCGCTATCATATCTTTGAGATTATTTTGTCGTCCGTATGGAAACACCTGTTTGGCCCAACAACAGGCCTGACCAAGCTAAAATGTATGCATTCAGTGAGTACTTAGGTTATGATAAAAATATGATTCAGAAACTGCATCGCTTTTGCCTATTTACAAGCTTATTCTATGTAAAAGTTTGGTTTGACATCTTCAAACGCCATAGATGCTCCTATCAACGACCTACAGTTTTGACCTAATGTTTAAAAAAATTGACCAAGGAGTAGCAGAAGCAGCTTTGATAGCTCAAACAAGACACCTATGGTACTTATAGGAAGAAGCTGCACCCTTTGCCCTCTTTTCAGGATCTACCCATAAAAAAAAGAAAATTGCGTCTACCCATGAAAAAAAGAAAATTGCTTCAACAATTCTGAAAAAAATAAACGATGAAAATATGGAAACTGGAGTGCCAGTAATGCCACAGATGAATCAAAACGTGCAAGTGAACTCTTTAATTTGAAAAAATTCCAGGCTTCTTTTTGATCTTTTGAAAGTAAATACTAAGTGGCTTTCACTATACCTCGATGAATGGTCAAAAAATTATGAATTTAACTACAAGGACCTAAAAGTTGTCAACGATTTAGCGGAAAGGTCAGTTAAACTAGTTACTGACTTTAATCAAAGTCTAACACGGGATGAAAATCAAAAGCAGTGTCTTTTCCAAGTAGTGGAACAGCATAGATGGAACATACCAAAGTTTGATAAAGCAGCAATGTTGATGAAAAAGTAGAACTCTTTATAATAAATATGTATGTTAATGCATGAATATAACTCTGTTGAACTTATTGGAACATCAGTTACCAACATTTTCTTTTATAATGGAAATACATATTTTTACAATTTATACAGTTTTTATTTTATTATAATTTCTCTTTTGTAAATTTTATCTCGCTTTTCTTTTTTCTAAATATGTTTTAGTAAATTTGAATCTAATATAGAAACATTTTAATTTAATATTTGTAACATTGTTTCCAATTGATTAGTTATATACAAATAATAAGGAAATTAAAGTTTTCTATAATTTTGTTTTGTTACTCGTTTCATAAACTAGTAATTACTTGAATCTCAAACATTTATTTTTTATTTTGCATAAAGGTCTAAATCAATTAATTATATCATTGTGTTCTAGTAGCAATTTTTATGTTTAGCTTCATAGTTGTAATCAATTAAAAGTATTAATTAATGTTCTGCATTATTATCCCAAATTCATTGATAAAATTAAACTTTAATAATTCATGATAACTTTAATAGGCTGGTGGCAATGTCAAATCAGCAGGTATTAACCTAAAATTTCAATAATGGTTATATCTTATCAAGTCAAATGGGAAAATTACCAGGGAGCTCGTATATGTACGCGTATATATATATATATATATATATATATATATATATATATATATATATATATATATATATATATATATATATATATATATATATATATATATATATATATATATATATATATGTATATATATATATATATATACGCGTATATATGTATGTATGTATGTATGTATCACCGCTGTAAACGAGCTATTTTTAGTCAAAAGTTAGCTAAGTTTAGTCAAAATATAGCTTTACACTATTAGCTTACACAATTTATGTTTTTATATTTTTAGAATAAAATAAAAAGTATTCAAAAAGAACAAAGCGATCTTAAAGAAAATATTCGAAAGTTACGCAGAAGAATGAAAGCTATAGAAGCGCAAAATAATCGAGTTGAGGATTTATTGAATGGAGTAATCAATCGCCTTAATTCTAACAAACTTTATTAAAATCTCTAAATTGTTTTTCCAAAGTTTATTGTAAATGAAATATTTATGTTGAGCACTTCTGTGCTTAAAAGAACGTAGGATAGAATCCAGAGAGGAACGTTGAATCTGTGATATGCTCTAGTAAGGTATTTTGATTAATTGATAATATTAAAGACGTGAACTTTTCTACTTGGTAAAATATAAATTTGTAAACAATAAATAAATAAAGTTTTATGTGTATATACTTTTATTTTTGACGTATATTCCAAAGCTCTTGATTGGTTAGCCTTTAAAGTTAACATATCTATTGAGAAAACAATATAAAACTAGAGAAAAATTCTTTGTTAAATACAATATTGAAATTTTTGTACATTTAAACGCCTTTCATATAATTTAGCAGTTGTTCTGGGTCAGGGTAACAATATCCGTTTTTTCTATGTCTAACAACATCTGTCCAACCATACCGAAATTTCATCGATGTTTAATAACATCCGTGCAAAAACATCCCAAATTTCATTGATGTATAATAACATCTGTCCGACAACATCCGAAATTTCATTGATGTATAATAACATCCCTGCAACTACATCTGTATATTTTTTAAGCCTAATAAATTTTTTTTTTTTAATTATTAGATAGACTGCCTGTTCAAACATAATGCATTATTTTAACGAGATGTAGTTAAACATCTGATTTTTTTCAGATGTAACTGTGGCGGGATAGCTTAGTTGGTTAGAGCGTCAAACAAAAAGTTAAAGTCCGGATTGTTGAACAATATGAGTTCAAATCTTGCTACCGCCAACTCAGCACTTGAGTAGTATTTCGGTACGCAAAAATGTTGGTCAATAACGTACGCTACTTAGGATTAGTCTTAATGGCTATTTTTGGCTGTTTCTATGCTAAGCCAACAATATATTCGGATATATGAACATTTTATAGAAAAATATAGTATAAAATTCAAAATAAAAAAAATAATAACTTTGTCCGAAATAATAACTTTGTCCGGAAATTTATTTTATTTAATAATGTATTATTTTAGGCGGATGTAGTTACACATCGAGAAAAACTCCCGAATGTAGTTACATCTTTCTAAAGATATTTTTTGACATCAATGAAATTTTGGATGTTGTTGAACAGATGTTAATTCAGTAAAGAAAAAAAGCGGATGGTCTTGGACAAAACGTGCGGATATTATTTCACTACTTCACGGATGTTATTGAACAGATGTACTAATCTTTTCCCGTTGTTCTATCTCAGCGGGCAAAAAAGTGAATCTTAGACGTCTTAAACACGTCTCATGCCCACTAAGAAGAAACAACTTTACAACGTATCTATATTTAGAAAAACACAGTTTTGAAAGGCACTAGTCCTTGTTTTGCATTGATGCTAAAAAGAAATAAGTTTACTAATAGAAAAGAATTGAACATTTTTGATTAATTTTATAAAACATCAATTGACTTGCGTGATTGATTTTATAAGACATCAGTTGATTTGCGGATTTCAACACTTTGCACTGAAGTTATGATATTTTTTGAACTCAATATGGTCATACGCTTATGACCTGAAAAATGTTGACATATTAATGAAAAACTTATTGCTTTATTGCAAATATTTCTTCCTAAGGGTGTATGCAACATTTTTTGATAATTAAGATATGTTTATACAGGGTGGGGCATAAATAGTGTTGACACATTTTTTAAGCCATATCCAAATGTAAAATGCAAAAAATGTAAAACAATAATTTTATTTAATTAAACAATAGCCAGAAGAACAAAAAAACAAATAAATTATTTAAAATGGTCGTCTTTAGCCTTAACACAGAGCTTAAGTCTCTTCTTGAAAGCATCGCAGATGGCACGCAGAAAGATTACTCACTGCTCAAGAAATTGAGGACTTGAGAGAAGCTAAATTAGCATGTCGAGTCGAGTTAACCTCGGCCTCCAACACTCCCCAAACAGCAAAATCGAGCGGGTTCAAATCAGGTGAATATGGGGGCCATTCCGCAGCTGCAATGAAATCAGGGCAATTGGCTTGACACCACGCTTGAACGATCTTTGCTCTGTGAGAGGGCGCGCCGTCCTGCTGGTAGCACCAATACTTATTTTTGAAGTGTCGTTGTGCAAACGGTTTAACTCCTTTCTCCAAAATCAGGTCCAGATAAGATTTAGCATTAATTTTCACTCCTCGTGGCACGAAAATTGGCTCTGTCACTCCATCTTCACAAATACACAGCCAGACAATCACGGATTCATCAGACTGTCGTTTTCCCACAAAGCGACCTTTGACAGAAGCATCTTTGATCGAAACGGCATAAACTCTATCATTTTGCTTGTTCACTTCTTGAGAAATCGAGAAAATTTTCTCATCTGAGAAGAGAATTGGCTGACCCCGTGCCGCCTTAATGCGCGAGAGGAGAGTCTTGCATTTAACGAGTCGATTCTTCTTATTCACATCTGTGAGTTCTTGGCAGACTTGATGCTTGTAAGTCTTTAATCCGAGATCCTCCTTTAGCACTCGCCGAATAGCCCTATGCGAGATTTTATGTACAAAAGCGTCAACACTATTTATGCCCCATCCTGTACTTAAGTTAAATAACGATGCTTAGCAAAAAACTGAGATAGTTGGAGCCTAGGGACAAAAAAGCCATAATTTTTAGCCATATCTGTACCATGCGTGAGAGAAAAAAGTTTGTTAATTTTTTATTTTATTCAATTCAGGTTAATTTGCAGTTACAAAGCGACAGGCTAATCTTGATAAAAACAAAGTCCATTTTATCATTATTTCTTGCCAGAATTAAACTAATGAAGCAAAATATTGGACGGCGCGAATTTTCCCAGTTCCCCAATTTGTCACAGACAAAATACTACGTTCAACATCTAAATGCTCTCTATTCAGATTTTAAAACTAGGTTTGAGGATGTTTTGACTATGGTAATACCATCGTTAATAACTAACCCATATGGTGAAATAAAAGCAACGTCAAATAATGTCATAATACAAGAGAAACTGACTTAAATAAGTACAAACAAAGAACTTAAGGTTCAGTTTAAAAACGGATATCGGCAATAGACATTTCTCTAATTTGATTGTGCAACTATTTTCGCAAGATTAAAACGAGGTCAGTTAAGGACAAAAATGTAAACAAATAGCGACAAATCGCTTAAATAATCCTTTTAATTTACTAATTTGTAGTAAATTATCTATTTAAAAAAAAAATTGAAAAAAAAACAAACTTTGAATTTTTGGTAAAACAATTTAAAAAAGACAATAAAAAATTTACCAATGCCTTACGACATGTTAAATCATAATAAAATTGTTGAAACTGGATTATAAGATCAACCATACGTTCCTTGTTTTGGTACAAGTCCAGATGGGCTTAAGATTAAACTCTAGGAATATATATATATATATATATATATATATATATATATATATATATATATATATATATATATATATATATATATATATATATATATATATATATATAATTATTTTATAAACGAATTTCTCTCGATACTAAATTTATTTTTTAAAAGAAATTTTCGCTGGATTGTTGTGACCAGCAGATGAAAACAGCTTACAGTTTTCACAATTTTAACTATTTGTGAAATCCAGTAATGTATAATGTTTTATATCGCTAAACTTAGTCGTGAACTCAGGATATTTTGACCTTTTACATGGAGATTTTCAAAGTAATTTTTCTTGTGTTGTCTTAAATGAATACAAGCTTTGAACTTCATTTCTTTTTTTTTAAGATTTTTACTACAACCTGAACTAATTTTTATCTCCTAAGGCCTAAAGTGAAACTCACACACTTTAGTGTGTTTCATTATTTTAAAATTATCAGCACCTCCTTTACGTCTATATTAAAATATTTTGTTACACCAAGCTTTGTGAACGTCGTTTTTTTTTCTTGGTTCGGGAAAGAAAATAGACCAATATTAGTCTTTTCCATATTGTTATTATAAAACGAATTTTACTAACTACTCAAAAGTAACACGAGTTGAAAAATATATCCATAAAAAAGTTAAACCCAAAGGAAACTATCCATTAACAATAACTTGGTACTTCAAAATACAAAATATAAATACATTTTTGTTTCCACCAATTTTTAATTTCTTTTTGTTGAGTCATCAGAACTTTTTTTTTCTAAATTGTCAAAAGGACACACTGTGTACTGGGGAAAAAATAATTTAAGCAACTTTGTTGAATTAAAACTAAAATTAAAAAAATTAACAAAAAAACAAAAAAAAATTATATTTTTAATAATTGAAACATATTGTATAAAAAAAAAATTACAAGAATTAATATTTTTAGATAAAAAATATCTTATTTGTATGTGAACTACATAAATTAGTAAATAGACTAAAAATTTATTGTTCTTTTTTTTCTAATTGAATATCATTATTTGTGACTAAACCACTTTCAGATATTTCTTTTGCAACATCAATATGATCAGATTCACCTACTAATCCAAATTCATTGACACGGCTATGATCAATTGGATATATCCAACGTTGATAAAGATATATAAAAAATATGACATCATCTCGTAAGCACCCAAGGCGATACAAGGTAGGCATTTTAATAACAAAAGCAAATATATCGTCAATAAAGGTATTAAGTGCTTTGTAAGTCAACATTCGCCATGGTAAATGAGCAATGCTTTTCATTTTATAATTAATAAACAACTGTGGTGTCATCATTATAAACCCAAAGGTTAACAAAAATCCGTAGGCAATGTTTAAAACAAAAGAATACCATCCTTTATGTTCTGAATAAAACAAAGAGTACACTGCATAACATCCTAACAAAGGAAACAATAGCCACGATAGATATTGAAAAGCAAGACGATCATATTGCTTAGTATCTGACTGAACATAACTAGACTTGTCTTCAAAGGTTATAGCTGAAAATGTGCCCCACTTTTTTGTTGGATGACGCTTTATATCAACAACTTTAGTGATTTTCCATGCCTCAATAAGTAAACCAACAAAGCAGCTGATTACAACAATAGTATTTGTTTCATTGTCAAGTACATACAATAAAACTATGAGAGATTGAAACACATTGAAGAATATTGATCTTACAGATAAACCTTCAAGTGTTTTACGAGATTTCCAAAATTGAATATCATTTTTAAATGCTAAAAACTCAAAAACACTATGCACTAATGAAACTATCATGGTTAAACCAAGTAAATATGGATTTGTTTCTTGCAATGTTCTTTTGAGCATATCTTGTTCTTGATCAGACTGCTCAACACTATCACCCAAATATTGATTCCATTGAGAGCGCATGTTTTGAGATATATACATTTGCCAACGAAACATTGATATAGGAGCAAATGTTATGTGATATTCTAGCTTCGGAGTTGTCTCATTTATTGGCATATAGTCACTCACATAATTCCAGTAATCATTAATATACAAAACTGGTCTGTAAAAATTTTCTCCTGGTAAAAATGTTATATACTGATCAAGAGGAGATGGCACCCCGTCTCTAACCCAAAGTGTTTGATCATCTAATAAGTTTAAAGTAAGATTAGGATGCCAGTATGACATTATCTTAACAGTAGAAACGTTTGTTTGCAAAATTTTATTTTGAGGATCAACTTCCCCGGTCAAAAGATTTTTTGTTTTATGAATTCTTTGTTTTCGATAAACTGTCATTAAATTAGTATAATTTACTATAGCATACTTTGAATAAGATTTGTCCCTAGAATCGGGAGAGTATCCCTTTTTTGTAACATACACATGATAAAATAATGAACCGTTGTTTTTTACAGCTTCAGAGATTTCTATATATCCTGATTTTTTTCTTGTACCGTCGCCATAAGGCCCGTCATACCAACTACCAAAAAAAATATCTGTTTCCTTCCATAATAGCAACTTTTGGTTTGAAAAATCATCGAAATTTCGAGATTCTGAATAATAAATATATAAGTCTAAACTTTCGCCTATATTGAAAAGATTTTTACAACTAATTTTATCAGAATTTTGCATAACTTTAGGATCACTCATTTCCTTTTTTGATGTGAATGATTTTACTATTTGCATTACAACCCAAAATGTTACTAATTGCCACAATACCGATTTCCATAATGGTTGTGGTGCTTCTTGCTGCTGTTGAGCAGGAGCAACAGTAGTTTGGGAGCTCATTGTAAAAACCAAAATTATTTTGAAATTAAACTATGTATGCGTTATTTCTTTTTAATACAATTTAGACATTTTTACCATGACACGAATACGAAGCTCTTACAAAATGTGGCATTAATTATAAAACAAGAACCGTTATAAGGTAGAAATGGTAGCTATCGCTTGTGTCGAAAAATTTATAAAATCCTTTGCTGAATAATAAGAAAATAAGCCCTTTTTTTCATAAAAATCAAATGTTTTTTTTTCTATGATTATTGTCAAATTTTTTAATAAAAATTTACACTACACCCTTTCAAGATGTAATCGAGAAACATAAGATGTAATTGGGAACATAAAAGTTGTAATTTAGAAACGTAAGATGTAATTGAGAACGCAGAGGATGTAAATAAGAAATTTAATTATGAGATGTAATTGAAGATCTTAGTGCTAAAAGTACTTAAGTCACAAAAAAAATGTTTTCAGAAAATCTACTTTGATCAGAGATATAACCCTTTTTTTTTTTTTTTTTTTAGTATTTTAGTTTACATTTGTTAGTTCGTTTTTACAATATAATGAGAGTAATTAAAAGATTAATACAAATTATAAAGTAAGCAAATACTACTAACATTTAAAAAAAAAAGTATCTGAAAGAAGATCAGTAAGATCTTATCGTCAGAACCTTATACTAGTGTAAACAAAATATTAGGTTATAAAGTAACTTTAAGTACAACAAAATAAAAATAAAATATACATACATTTATCACTTTGTAGTATACATAATAAAGTTTAATAAATATTTCCATAATATAAATATTATTGTCAAATTTTGATAATACGGGAGAGAGAAAAATTTTTCAGCTTAACTATGAAAAGATGCAAAGAAGTAAGTAGATCAAAATTAAAATTAGGCAAAATAATTTTGATTCAGAGTTGGGGTGCACGATAATCAATGCAAAATTGGTTAAAATTTGTTCGACAAAAAGTCTCATTTAGAAGATTGTTATTTCTTAAAGAATATTTATTGGTAGGTTTCAAGGTAATTAAATCATTAAAAACAGCAGGAGAAATATTGTTTTTACATATATATACAAATTATAAGTATTAAGTTCGTAAATATTAAGTATTCTTATTTTATAAAAAAAGTTGTTTAGAGTGAGAAAAACGATCAGCAAAATTAATTACACGTATTGCATGTTTCTGACGGCGATAGAGAGATTTTAACTTACTTTTTTCAGTGCTTGCCCAAGCATTACTTGCATAATTCATATAGCTATGAATGAATGCATAATAAAGTTGGGATAAAATTTTTTTATTTATATAGATTCTGACCTTATAAAGAATTCAAATATTTTTTGAAACTTTAGTACCAACATAATCAATATGTTGCTTCCATGTAATGTTCTCATAAAGGAATACGCCTAAAAATTTTGTGATACAGTCTCTTTTTATTTCAAATTAGTCAATAAAAATATTAGGTAGAGTTGGGGGTAAATAACGTTTTTTAACTATCGAATGAAAAAGAATTTATTTTGTTTTTTTAATATTTAGGGTAAGTTTATTGCATTTGAACCAGCTAGAAATTACTTTGAGTTCTTCATTCATAGTAGTGAAGAATTTATTAATATTGTTATCAGATAAAAATAAATTAGTATCATCCTCAAACATAATACTTAAAAGATTAGAAGCTTTATGCAAATCATTTATGTATATTAAAAAAAGAAGTGGCCCCAAAATTGATCAATGCGGAACACCACATGAAATATCTAAAACATCTTTTTGATAAGGATCATTAAAAGAAACAAATTGTTTTCGGTTTGTTAAATAACTTTTAAACCATTTCAAAATTACACCATCCACTACACATATCATTCAAGTTTATGTATTTTATATATCATTCAAGTTTATACACATATCATTCAAGTTTATGAATCAAAATGCTATGATTTACTGTATCAAATGCTTTTGATAAATCCTAAAAAATACCTAAAGTGAATTGTGAATTTTTGAAAGAGTTAGAGATTTCACGGACGAATTGGATGATTGCATATGCTCAGTAGAACTATTTTTTTTAAAACCAAAATGATTTTTATAAAAAAATTCTTCTCCTTAAAATAAGTATATAATCTATTGTAAATAATTTTTTCTATGATTTTTGAAAATCTTGATAAAATAGAAATAGGTCGGTAGTTACATACATTAGTTTTGTCTTCTTCTTTGTATATTGGGGTTATCTTAGCTACTTTTAACTTATCAGGAAAAACTCCTTGTTGTATTGATGCTCTGAAAATTTTAAAGAGAATATCTTTTAATTGTTCAAAGCATTCTAAGACTATGTTCCATTTATTTCATCAGCTCCAGGGGCTTTGTTTTTTTTAATAGATTTAAACAACACTTGAAAACTCCTCAAAGGATAGCTCAGAAGATAAATTACTTTAAAGTAAGGATTTAAATGGCTGGTCAAAGTAGATTTTCTCAAAACAATTTTTTGTGACTTTTAGTACTAAGCGCTTCAATTGAGAACATGATATTTGTAACTAGGAAGGTTTTATGATATAGATACTCAGAACAAAGTTCTTTGTGTTTCTGATTTTGTAGCCTTAATTTATTTTTGTATTTTTAGTCTATTCTGGATCTGAAATACAAATCGAATTTTAAACATTGTTTCCACCGGGTTTAACATTTGACAGTATGGTCCCATGCGTAACAACTGAACTGGTGAATTTTCAAACATTCTTTCCGCACAAGCGTGAAAATGAGCATTGTCTGTTACGAAGACCAAATCTAACTATATTAGATTTGGTCGTTATTAATAATTTTTTATTTATTTTTTACTAAAGACTTGGAAAAAAAAGTGCGCAATCATCAAATTCCGTCAAGCAACACCGTAACATTTGCACAAAAAAAAAGCTGTATATAAGTTAGTTCAAAACAATGCCAGAAATCACATGTTAAGTTAAGAAACGACAGAAGATAACAAAAAAGTCATCAAGCAGGATAACGGTTAACAAATAGCCTATTATCTGCAAGTAATATAAAATAATAATAAAAAAAAATTTGTAGAGACATGTTCACCGGGAGGTTAATGAAGCTTAAAAAAATCAATAAAAAAAGACGCATTAGTTTTTATTAATATAAGCATAAAAGCTTGAGGTGAGAGAATATGTTATGCAAGCAATTTTTGATGTACTTCAGTTTTGAGAAACATCTTTCATAAGTTTAATTGTCCCAGAGTTTATTTAGCAGATCTCCACTGAAACTGTCTTCATTTCCTATGATTTCTAAATAATTGGAAAGTGACGATGCGCTACGCGGAGGTATAGCTTTACATTAAAAGTTGTTTCAAACTTAAAAAAATTATCTAGTAAAGTTTGAGCTAAATTTTGAACTAACTTGTAACCTTTAAATAAATTCTATAAACAACTATGTATTTAGATCTTTAAAATTTTCATGTATAAGATGCGCTGTAGTGGTAAAATAATCGCTTCGTATGTAAGGTTTATATGTAAGGTTGATCTCTTAAGTTTATTCCTTATTTAAACCTTATTTGAATTGTAGATTTATATATTAGAAATCAATCAATATAGCAATCAATATATTTTCGATAAAAGATCTTACAATCGAGGTCATTTACAAATAGTTAAAAACTAATCTTAAGTAAATGGCATAAAATAGAATTGATAATACAAATAACAATGATAATAATAATGATGATAAATTAAAAGTTATAAGAATAAGAAGAAAATTGTATAATAATAAACCAATTTTAATTTTAAAACAACAATTGAATATAATGCACAGACAGGAAAGTTACAAACAGTTATGTACTGACAAAACGTAACAACCTACCATGTAACTAAAACAATTACTGCAAAAAAAATAATCATAATAAAATATCAAATATCAATAATCATAATAAAAACAATTAAAAGTAAAATAAATACTTCATTAAAAAATAACAATGAATAAACAAAACAAAAATGATTCAATAATACTCACAAATAAAAACGTGTCACAAACACAAACATTTAGTCACGAAAAGTATAGTTTTAATAATAAATGACAATATTAAAATAAAAAAGTAAATCATATCAAGCAAACACATATAAACAACGTCACTCAAAAATAATAAAATTTAAAAAATATTCTTTTTTCTTTCTTTAAAAACAGAGGAATTTTTATATTTTATTTTAATTCCTTTTTAATTCCTTTCCATTTTCGAATGTTTTTTTTCGAAATTTTTTTTTGAGAGGTTTTCCCCCTTAACTTTGGTTTTTTGTCGTTTTCTCGTTTCTTTTTTCTTTTGTTAATTTTGTTTGGTTTGCTTTTTAGTTGTTTTTTTTAGTTTTTTCTTTTCTTTTTTTTTTTTTTCTTCATTCTCTATATTTTTATTTTATTTTTCTTATTTTATTCTTTTTTCTTTATCTTTCTTTTTTTTGTTTATAAATTTATTTATAAAATTCGTTATAAAAAAAAGTCCGCCATTCCGGAAGTTTCTGCATTATCAACAATATAACTAATGCAGGGATTTTTAGATCATATGATTTATCATGGATTAAGGTTATCTAAGAGTTTGTTAGTTGGTTATTTTTTCAATCAAAAAGATGACTCAGAAATCATTACGGATTTTTTAAATATATTATTGTCGGTGTTGTGTTATTAATTGATGCGTAAAAATTTAAATATTGATATTTATCATACGTTTGGTAGGGTAGAAAGTGTAATTTTGTTAATAAATTTTAAATTAAACTTTTTTAAATCCGGAAAATTTTATTTCCAGATAAAGTATTAAAAAAAAAATTAGTATTTATTTCAAATAACTTTTGCATAACATTTCTGTCAATATTTTTCTATAGCACAATTTAATGACAACTTTTTTATTCAACTAAAAATTTTCCTGATTCAAAAAAAATTTAAATTATTATATACTTAATTTTTAAATATTGTATATTTAATATTATTAAACTAAAAAAATATATAAATATTTAATAAATATGTTCAACTTATATTATTATTAATAATTATTATTAATAATAATTATTAATAATAATATAAGTTGAATATATTTATTAAATATTTATATATTTTTTTAGTTCATTTAATTATCTAACTTTTACACAATAATAAATCTAGGGTATCTTTCTTTGCAAAG